GGGGGGAAGGACGGACGATGCGCGGTCTGCGGGGGCCGAGGCGGCGAGCGCGGGCTTCAGCCGTGCCAGGAGCGCGGCGGAGGGGCTCCTCCAGATGTGCGTATCCCTTCCAGGCGGGCAGCGAAAGCGCTGCGGGTGAAACCTGACCTTTCCCTTCCCCTCCTCCCTTTTCTCCCCGCTGCCTTTGCAAAAGGATGTGAAAATGCCCAGAAATGCGCATTTCCACTCGGCCGCGGGGGTGGCGGAGGCCTCGGCCTCCCCTCCCGGGCAGCATCGCTGCCTCAGGGCCCTCCGACGCCATCGCCCCTCCGTTCCCCTCACGGCGCAGCCCGCCGGCACCGACGCATTTCAGGGTTTGTTTTTTGTTGGTTTTTTTTTTCCTCATAGCGTGAAGATTTTTGGCCCAGAATTGCTCTTTCCACACGTCCCCCCTCATCATCACCACACGCGCCCCAAGGTGGGTAGTTTTATGCTTAATTCTTTCTCTTCCACCGTTTTTCTCCTTCACAGGGGTTGAAGCCACCGCCTCCCGCTCTCCTCACAGCATGGAAAATACCCAAACGCGCTTAAAAAAACAAAACCAAAACCAAACCAACAACCCAAAACACCCGAGGATTGATTTATCTTCAGAGCCGGAGTGGAGCAGGGAAGAAGCCGTCGCCGCTCGCCTTGCTCCCCACGACAACCTGCCCGCCATTCGGTTAATTAAAAGCATGTACTTGGTGTGATCAGACGTGGTAATACCGTAAAAAAAAAAAATACCCCGTAACATCCAAATGCTCGTTGTTGGAGGCTGCAGCCAAGGTACCACGTACACTTTTTTTTTTTTTAAATATATTTTTTTAATGTTGCCTTACCTTTTTTTCTGCACCACAGTGTTGTTACAGGCTACGTTACAACATTGCCCCTTCTTTGTTAAAAAACAATGCCTAAAATACTGCTGTTTTTTTCCAGGAATTACAGATTTAGGCCTATACAGATGCTCTTTTATTTCTTCATATATAGAAATATTTCTCTATATTTACTACGGATTTATATATGTATCTTCTTTCTCCAGGGACTGATTACAGAATATAAAATAAACCCACACACCTAAACCACTATGATTTAATTATATATAATCACTGTAATTTTGGCCCGTATATATGTTTGATTTTATATATATATATATATATTACCTTTGTTTTCCTCCATTGGCTTTCTACTACAATATATCCTAAAAGCAGGAGAAAAAAAATGCCATCCAAAAAGAAAAGAAAAAAAGAACAAAAAGCAACCCATCTCTTTTTTACAGTCCACGGTGGAAGTTTGTGCCTGAATGTTTTATTTGTTCCACAGAGATGTAGATTTTCCTTGGGAGATTTGGGGAGGATTTTTTTTTTAAATTAAAAGAGGAAAAAATACACCCAGAAAAACAATAAAAGAGAACCAAAAAGGAAAAAAAAAAAGCACACAAAAAGCAACCACAGTAACTGAAGCTGCAAATGCAATCAAATAGTCCGGATCAGACAATTCATTGCAACAAAAAGAGAGGACAAATTAGCTGAACTGCAATGGCAGGGCTTTGCTGTAGATCCGGGAGGAGGGATCAGCTCCTTTATCCCACCATCTAGCGCTCCAAACACCACCATTTTTTTTTTTTTGTGCTTTTGTGTTGGGGCGTTTTATTTAAAGCCAAGAAGGCTGCAAAACCCCGCCGAGCCGGGGCCGCCAAAGCCACTCGTGGGCTTAGTTTTTATATATATAGATATTTTTTCCCCCTGCACGTATCCGATCCGTGTGCAATCCTCTCCCTTTTATTATGTGCTCTATTGCTCGCTCTCAGTTCCCCCCCCCCTCTGCGGATATAAACGTTTCTCTCCCCAGCTTGGCTGCTTATTCCAGAAGTTTCTACGGGGGAGGGGAGCACCCACTGCGGAGCCTTTGCCGCAGCGCCGGGCAGGCGTGGTCCCTGCCGCCGGGGGAGGAGGAGGAGGAGGAGGAGGAGGAGGATGCAGAGGATGCACCACCTCTCCCTGCCTTCCCTCCCCGCCTGGCAGCCTCTTTCCAAGCCTCTCCCCCTTGCTAGATTACCCCCTCCTTGAAAAGGGTGCTGGGAGGGGTTGCAAGGGTTTGGTTTGTTTTTTGTTTTTTTTTTTTTTAATTTTTTTTCTTCTCCCCTTTTGCTCAATAAATTAAAAGCAGAGATGTCTCCTGATGGAGATGGATGAGGCTGGGCTCGCAGCAATGGGGTTGCTCGCTCGCACGCGCGCTGCCGCAGCCTTGATCTGGCGTAGCGAGGGCACCGATGGCAGAAGTGACCTTTCCCAGGCGGTGGGAGGGAGGCTTTCCCCCCCAGCCCCGACATGCTCCCGCTTGGAATTAATTTTCAATAGCAGGGTTATTATTTTTTATTTTCTTTTCCCCTTCCCCTTCAAGAACAGCTTGCTCTTTCACTGATTTTTTTTTTTCTTGGTAGCCTGTGGGTTGAAGCTTCCTCATGATCCTTTTTTTTTTTTTTCTTTGTGTGTGTGTGTGTGTTTTGAATTGCGTTTTAAAATTGCCCAGCTGGAGACAAGTCTTGATTAGAGCTGGAACAATAGCTCCCTTTTATTAATAATGGGAAGGATTTACAATCCTACAGCACCTTCCTTGGAAGGCTTTCAAAATCATTTGCAAACACTCACAAATTTAAGATTTCACAGCCCTTGTCTGTGAGGTGGGTAAGTATTTTAATGGTGCCAGCACCAAAAATCACGTCGGTGGCAAATCTCCATTTCTGAGTGCTTTAAAAAAATGACAGATTCGGTGGGGTTTAGAGCTGCAAAGCAAAGCTGGGAGGGGGGGAGGTTGGTAAGTGGGCCTGGCTAAAAGCTGTAACCTAAATCTGTTCAGTGTTCTCTGTAGATGCAGAGTATTTTGCTGCGTCCTGGGAACTGGGCTGTTCTTTCTCCGCCTGCTCCCCTCCTTGCTCCTTGCCAGAGTGAAGCTGTGGACTTGCCTGCTTGTCAGTAAACATCTGCTTATAGATTTTTTAATTTTTTTTTTTTTTAATTCATTACCTTTTTGTAGTCCCCATGTGACCTCCTTTAGTGCTGGCTCTGCCTGTGGTTTGACCACATCCTTGCATTAAAGCAGGCTGGCTAGCGCTAATGTCTCTCCCTGCAAGCCAGAATGACCTTGCTTGAGGGACTGGGCCCACCGAGCTAATGCAGATGCTCCGCTTCGATTACAGAGCCCCGCACGCTGCTCTTCCCCAGTGCATCCCTTCCCTGACGCAGGTAGCACAGGGGGATGTTGCAATATTATGAGTGAAAGCTGTCTTCTGCCTTATTTTTTTCCTTTTTTTTTTTTCTTTTCTTCCCAGGGAAATAGAGGCTTGTTTGTGTAATCCCTCTCCACAGCAGATACCTTCTTTGTAAGTATTGTAAACACGCAGGGATCTAAGAGCCGCCTGGGCAGTCGGGTCTGGCCTTGCCGAGGAGGGTAAGGCACAGCGCTCTGGTTGTGTAAGTGTGTGTTGTACACGGGCCACAGAAACCCACAATGTTTCTGTGGTTACTCCTGTCTGGATAGCGTGAGTAGGTCCCAGGACTTCCCCTTCCCACTGCTTACTGTTTCGCAAAAGCAAAGGCTGGTGGTTCTGGAAAAAGCTCTGCCTTGTGGCCTTTTAAAAAAAAAAAAGAAAGAAAAATTAGTCATCCTTATTTTTAAAGGAAGCTGTGTTTGCCAGTCCTATCCGTATAACGCATGTGCGTGTGAGATATTAACTATTAGCTTTATTTGCAAAGGCTGGTAATGTGCTCCGGTCGCTGCTCTTTGGAGCAGTGCCACCGAGGCTCCGTCGAGCTGCTGCTGGCAGGTGGAAAAACTGATGGTCCGGCTTTTCGTACCCTTCCCTCCATTTTCCTTTTTCAGTGCTGGTATCTCTGCATTAGCAGGTGTGGAAAGGTAGAAACCGTAACAGCAGTGAGCAAGGACAGATGAGCTGTCTTCTGGGGTCACTTCCAACTCCAGAGAAGAAACCCTGGTGATTTATATTTTTTTTTTTCTTGCCTGTGGTAGCTTTTACTCTAAGCTCCACTGTGTCTTGTGAGAGAAGACTGAGTTTGATCCTTTTGGATGCTAAAAATGGTACTGTTTTTAAACCTTAGTGTTTTCTTCCCTTCCCTGTGGTCGCGTAGAAGAGCAAGCCGTGCAATTAAAACGGTATAGCAAAGGACAGCTCCCTCCCCCTTTCTCCTTTCAAAAAAACTGGCTTCCAGAGTTGAACTGCTGCATAGGCAGAAAACATACAATGCAGTTGTCAGCATTGTGCTGATGTGTGGCACGTTTAAAAAAAAAAAAAATACACACAAAAGGGGTGGGGAGAACGGTTGCCTCCAGGGGGTAAAACTGTGGGGCCCTTTCCCCTACAAGCCAACAGACCTACGCGCGATAGTATATTCTTCCTAATTTTGCGCAGGCAAAGGCAACGGACTCAGGTCAGAGGGAGCGTTGCAACGTCCTAAATCGTGTTGGTGAAGATCAGCGTCCCCTTGAACTACTATTTTTCCCCCCGTGAACTTGCTCTTGCGCGATGTTGCTGTTTTATTACTTGATTCCTCAAAGTCGTGCTCGCTCACTGGGAAGAAGGAAAATGCTTCCTTATTGGGCGCAATTTCTTTTGTTGTGTTGCAAAAGGTAATAAAAAGCACCTGGTGCTGGGCCCTCCTAGGTCACACATGACTTCAAGGCGCAGAGTCCCGGCAATCGTTAGTGCGCAAGGAGTGTTAGGTATCGGCGCCTTCTCGTTAGCCTCCCTTAATGAGAATATTGGCATCAGTGTTGCATGAATGCCTCTGGCTGACCAGCCGAGAGGCCCTTCCCCGCTAAGCTGGAGCAACACCTTAGGAGAAATGCAGCGATTTCGCTGCCAGTGAGGCAGTCTGGTTGCTGCGGTGATTTCTAGCGCAGCTATGATTTTATGCTTTTTTGGGAAAAATGTAGCAGAGGGTAAGTATGAGGTGTCCGGGCCGGATTTCATACCCTGCTCCCTGCGGTGGAGAGTCGCTGTGTGGTGTACGTGAAAATTGCCAATAGCTCCTGTGCCTAAAGCCTCGTCTATACTTGAAATAAACCAGCGTGGACAGGGATATTCATTTTATTCTCTCGTTAGGGATGTGTTGGTGTGGAGGTACGCCTCGTGCTCATCAGCGGCCTTCGCTGGCACGGAGCTCCGGTGGACCGAGAAGCTGGCTCTTTGGGATGTTTCCACGTTTTTCAGGTTGGCACGCCCTGTGGGACTCGGAATTACTTTTCTTTGGCAGTTAAGGACAAACGAGTGAGAATTACCTTGTGAGCGCTGAACTTTTACCACCCTCTGCTTTGGACTGAAGAGTTACTAGAACTACATCCGTGAGGTTTCCAAGCCAAACAAAACCTGAATTTCCGGTGCCAAAAAGCAAGCGAGTGATAGAAACCTCTGCTCCTCCTCCATAAGGGGGGAAACCGCAGTCTTTCAAGCTTTCCTGTTATCCCGAAGAGTTAAAAAGCGGCATCGTGAGATCTGCAGTGGTGAAACAAAAGCCAAAGCTCGCCGAGAAACTCTTCTCCTGTGCCGCATTGCCGGAGAGGTTTTTGAGCGCAGCAGGTCTCGATGCACAAGTATTTTTCTTGTGTGCTTTTCTCTGAGGGGAAAGAGCAAAAACCGTGCAAACGTGCTCCGTTTAAAACACGGTCAACTCGCTTCGGTATCAAAATGGTGTTTGGCGAAACAAAAGCTCTGATGGTGGCTGGCTCGGTATTTATTTTGCGCTGGGTGTGCCGATCAATCTGTTGGGGAACGTGGGGAAGAACAGCCTTTAGCTCACAGGTTTGGACTGCAACGTCTCCAGCATAATTTTTGTGATTTTTCCCGAGCGTTGCACGCGGGGCTTTTAGGTAGAGGTCATACAGCAACGGGCAAAGTAAAAAATGGTAGAGTACAGGAGATCTGTCCAGGCCTAGGGGATTTATATCCTTTGCAGTTGTCGTGTTTGGGTATCAAATCACTTGGGGCTGGCTTTTTTTGGTTTTGTTTTCTTTCATTTTCCCCTAAAATGTAATATTTTGCAGCCTGGAAGACCGAAATCCTCTCTGTCTAGCTGGTGAAGTGCCCCGTGTTTGGGAAAAACCCTTGCGAGGTGAGCAGGCACAGCTCTTTGGTTCGTGGTCGCACAGAAGTTGGGGGGCAAGGGAAGCAGGGCAGAAGCCGGTACTGTGATATTTCTAATTTTTCCCAACAACAGGCAAAAAAATAGGTATTAATTCTAATACATCTGCTATACAGTGACCGAGAGTCAGCTCTTCTGCAGTGCTGTGACGGCACGCGGTGCTTTGGTTGCGCGGCTCGGCGATCAGGCTGTACTCTGCTGCTGAAGAAACGTCTGTTTTTGTATAGCGAAGTATTTTGAAAACAGAAGTGTGCTTTTATATATATACAAATGGGTTCAGTGTAAACCAAATTCCAGGGGCTCCTGAGCTGTGTTTCCTGTGCTGCAGGAGGTAACTGGTGCTAACCCGCCAGCCACAGCGGCGGTGTTTTGGGGCAGCTCCCATCCCTGGTACCGTGGGGATAAGAACACCACCATGAAGTCCAGCGGGGAGGAGCGTTTGAAAATAAATTACTAAATACTGGGTTTCAAAAGCATGAAGGGAGTTTTCTGGACAGAGTCATCTCCTCGTGAAGATGTGGAGCGCTGACCCTCAAAGAGGAAAGAACCGAAATCAATAGAGCTATGAATACAAATCCTATACTTTGTGTTGCTTAGGATCCAGAACCAGGCTTCGTGTTCAAAGCCTTATCAGTGTGTAAGCAGATAGCCTCTCTCTTGGCAACAAATGAGCCCAAATATCAAACAGCACCAATTCCTTCTTGGAGAAAATTATCCATTGCATAAAATGTAATGGGTAAGCAATAAAATTAGGCCAGTAATTCAGGCTGGCTTAAAAATGAGATAAAAGCCGAGCTGGCAATTTGATATTCAGCTGCCATGCTGTCATTTTAATAAATACAGTCAATGAGCAGGAAAGGCACGTAAATACGTTTTATAATGACAAGATGGTGGCTGGAGCTGGCCGGCTCGAACAAAGAAACGCTCCGCGTGTTTCTGGTGATGTCGGAGGGCTCTGGTCGGGGTAACCTACTGTCGTCGGGGGGGGGGGAAAGCAGAGCGAGCCGGAGGCGTACTGGACGCCGGTGGGGATGATCGTCGCATGCAGCTAGCGTGACCGCTGTAGTCCACGCGAGTCCCCGGTCGACGTGGCTGGCCGGCGTCCCCAGCTACGGGGAGAGGCGTAATTAATGCCTCCCTTCCCCACCTCCGGCTGCGCCGCTGCTGCGAGCACAAAGCGCGGAGCTCTTGCTAAGCTGGAGCCAAGTATAGGAAGTTACGGTCTTAGCAAATACAGCTCTGGTTGCTGTCCTTGTTCGGTATCTAATCTTTGCTTTTTTAAATGTTTGGCGAGCAGTCCCGGCGACACGTGGTGGCAAGCTCCACCGCTTGGGTAAGGCGTTGCGTTAAAAACGTACGAACTTGCCTTTTCAAGCGTCGCCTGCTCGCTTCTATTTATTGACGTTTCCTCCTCCAAGCGAGGCTGCCTCTGGCTGTTCGTGTGGACCCCAAGGATGTTTTCTGATTCTCCTGCCCTTTTTTTCCCCCCTCTAAACTGGAGAGCTGCTAACTTTATTAGCTCCTTATATGGCAGCACCACTTTCTCACGCCTTTAATGGCTCTCTTTTGATCTGGCCTGTTCTTGCTTTGCTTTTCTTGATGTGAACACGGTGTTCAAGCTGAGATGGGTTTATAACCTCCTCCCTCATTAATATATGACCTGGCGTTTTAATCCTCTCCAAGCGCCGATAAGAGACGTCCAAATGTTTAACTGCGGGGTTGGCCGAGATGCCCGGAGATAGCCGGCTTCGCGGCTACGCCCACCGCGCGGCCATGACTAATTTAAATTGCGTCTTGCGGTGCACCGGGCCCTGCCCTCGCGTGTCCTGAAGGCCGAAGGCCATCGGGCGATGGAGAGCAGACCAGGTCTCCTCTTCCTCGGCCGTTTGCCCCTCTGGGAAGGGCAGCGAGCAGGGATGCGTGTCCCTGTCTCACCCCTGGATGCTTGTCGTGTTGTCACCAGCGGCAGGACGCTCGCGAACGCTCGTCCCTTCTGCGGTGGCGAGGACGGCGTCGGTTGCTGCCACGTAAGACGGGTCCTTCGGCGAGGCGCCTCTGGCCTGCTGAGGGGACGGTTATCCTCGCTCGGGTCTCTAGCCTGGGTCTGCGTTCTTTAAAATCTTCGAACGAGTTGCAGGGATCCGGTTACAGCGGCATCGCCAGCGCGGTCGCGTGTTGTAATCGGCAACAGTTTCCCCCCAAAGCGTTTGAAAAGTATCAGGATGGTCCAGAGCTTCGTTTTGCGTCACCGGCCGGGCTTTGCGCTCCTCTTCCAGCTGGCTTTCGTGTAACGGGAGCCCCTTCCAGCGCTCATTCCGCCTGTCTCTTCTGTCCGCAGAGTCGGTGGCTTTGTTCGCCATCCGTGGATGTCCCTCCCGGCCAGCCTGCCTGCAAGATGGCCCTGGGACAGCGGTGACCCCACGGGAGGTTTCTTTGAGGGACCTGGGAGCCGGCGTGCTTTTCTCGTGTCCCGTGGAGGTGCCGCCCTCGCAGGGAGGGAGGGAGCGGTTGGAAATGCCGTCGCAGCAAGCAGGCTCGGTCGGAGAGGGAATTCGGCATCCCTTTTGACGCGTGGTTTGGGTTTCTTCCTCTCAGAAACAGGTGCCCGTGGAGCCCGTCAAAGGTGCGGGCGCGTAGCGACCGCTCTTTGGGCTTCTGACCAGCTAAACCAGAAAGCCAAGCCCAGTTCCACGGAGAAGAAACGCGCGGTGGAAAGCGCCGGTGGGGCGCGTCGGCAGCGCGTTTTCTCGCGCGCGCGCGGCTCCATCACGTGTTTTAAATAACAGATGGTGCGCGTGCAAAGAGTTTTGGGGTTTTTTGTTGTTTTTTTTTAATCAATCAGTAGATCTCAGTTTGGCGGAGCAGCGTAAGGCCCGTCAGCATGGTTTTAATCAATAAAAAAGCCCCGTCAGGAGGCTTTGGCCAAGGGAAATACTGAAATAACGGTCTGCGCTCTGGTGAAAGCACCTAACCGGCTTCAAAAACGAAATTACTCCTGGCCCTGGGTGCGTGGTTGGGTTTATCCCAACCTCAAACTGCATTTTCCTTTTTGGGGATAGGAATGGGTGGGTTTTCTCCGCACAGAGGCACGTTTTGGTGGAAAACGAGACCCTCCGGGTTGGAAAACGTTTAGGTCCACGTTGCGATGCCGCCTTCGGAGCAGGGCCGGGGCGCGACGCGCGAGTCGCTTACCTCCTGCAAGCGGGGTAGTAGTCGCACCCAGCGTTTTCTTCACCCCGTTTTAATTAAAGACTTCTGCAAAAACCCCGGGGGAACGGAAGCGGGAGTTTCTTCCGCGCCGTTCTCGGGGCGACGTGGCCTCCCCTTTTCAGCGGAGGGAAGATTTTTGGGCAGCCGGGAGGATTCGGTGACTTCCCAACCCCGCTCGGGGTTGCCTATAGCTCTGAATTTTGGAGCCGTTACAGATACACGGAGCTATAGGCTCCCGAACGGCCGGGCGAGTGATTTTTTTTTTTTACTTGCTCCCGCCGATCGCAGCGAGGGGTGAAGACGGTTTGTGCCTCGGGACGGGGAGACCCTGACGGCCCCCGTTTCTTGGGGGGCTGTGGGTTTCACGGAGCCCCCGGCTGGGGGGAGCCCCTCTGAGCGTTTCCCTCGCAGCCCGGGTGCAGACGGGGCGCTGGGTGCCAGCGGGACCTTGCTCTCGCATAGCACCCCTTTATTTTTTGCATAGCACCCCTTTATTTTTTGCATAGCACCCCTTTATTTTTTTGCATTGTGACCCCTTTATTTTTTGCAATGTAATGCCTTTACTTTTTGCATAGACCCCTGTTTTTGCAATGCAGCCCTCTATTTTTTGCAAGCCCCGTTTTTTGCAGTGCAGCCCCTTTTTTTTGCAGTGCATCCCCTTTATTTTTTGCAGTGCATCCCCTTTATTTTTCACATAGCACCGCCCCATTTTTGCAAAGCAGCCCCCCTTTATTTTTTGCATAGCACCCCTTTATTTTTGCTTAGCACCCCCTCATTTTGCAATGCACCCCCTTTATTTTTTGCCATGCAGCCCCCCTTTATTTTTTGCACAGACCCCCTCATTTTGCAAGGCAGCCCCTTTATTTTTTGCATGGCACCCCGTTTTTTGCAATGCAGCCCCCCTTATTTTTTGTATAGCCCCCCTCTATTTTTTGCCTAGCACCGCGTTTATTTTTTGCACAGAGCCCCTTTATTTGCAGTGCACCCCTTTATTTTTTGCAGTGCAGCCCCCCTTCATTTTTTGTAATGGAATCCCCTTATTTTTTGCCATGCAGCCCCCTTTATTTTTCGCATAGCCCCCCGTTTTTTGCAATGCAGCCCCCCTTTATTTTTTGCACAGACCCCTTCATTTTGCAGTGCACCCCCTTTATTTTTTGCAGTGCACCCCCTGTATTTTCTGCCGTGCAGCCCCCCTGTATTTTTTGCATAGCCCCCCGTTTTGCAATGCACCCCCTGTATTCTTTGCCTAGCCCCCCGTTTATTTTCTGCACAGCCCCCCTTTACCTGCAGCCCC